TATATATATATATATATATATATATATATATATATATATATATATATTGTCGTATTTGTGCTGATAAATAAATAAAGGGAGACTATATATATAGTTTTGAGCACTTAATATTCAACCTTTTCATCAGATGGATTTTTGATCTTTGATTAAGTTTGACTTAAACTAAGTCAATTAGTGCTACCAGTATACATCAAATCTAAGACTTGAGGTATGCTTGTTGAACAGAAATGGAAAGCCATGAAAACTGATGGTTATTACAAACTCTTTTTCAAGTTGATAGAAGTTGAAGTCTTTTGATACTCCATTGTGTGCTTGGATTAGTTTGTGCTAGGCACTTTAGATTACCAATAAATAGTTGGAATGTAAAGCCCAGATATGATACTGAGATTTAATTATATATTGCACATAAATATATACACCGAGGAGTTCATAAGAATGCCTTATGAGTGAATTTGTTTATTGTTAAAATATCTGCTAAGTGGAAGGTGGTTTTTATGGCTTGCATAGTTTTAACTCATAATTCAAAACTTTTTACACCTTTGCTCCTTATTTATATATGTAGTTTTGAAAAGCCCTTTTTCTGATTCTTTCCTTTGATCAGTCTCTATTTACAAAGAATTAGATTCAGTTGACCTAACTAGTATTTGTTGATCTTGCTCTTGTGATACTACCTTTCAACTCGACAATGGTGTACAGATGAAACTATCTTAAGTTTAAAAAAATGAAACTTTCTATCTCCCTTTTATCTATTGTGGTTTTCTATGGCCCTCCAAACTCTTGAACACATCTACAATATGAAGATAACATAATAGTAGCTATTGGCACCAATTTATTTTTTTCAAATTTGGAAAGCTTCCTAATGCCATAGCAACTCTAGGCAGCATGCAGTATTAAAAACAGGTTATAACAATTTTTAAATAACAAAGGAAATAAATTTATTTTAAATAACAATTTTTAAATAACAAGGAAAACACAAGGAAAACAACATTCTCTTGCACTCGCACATGGGCCCTAGCCCAAGGCACAAGGGGGAAAACCCTGTTTCAACAGCCTGTTCCATATCACTAGTAGAGAAAGTGGGCTTTCTGACTTTTTCTTTTGGAACAGTCTTCTGTTGACACTTCATCTGTCCTTTATGAGATCTGTATCTGATGACAATCAGACATATAGAAAGCTCTGAAATTGAAATTAATGAACTGTGCTTTCCAAAAGTGGGACTATACACTAGTGTTCTCCATTTGGTGACTCCCAAAATGCATTCAGATTGCAAATTCTAGAATTTCCTGCCAATTCTATCTTTACAGTATATCTCCAAATAATTTTTTTAACTCTTACTAATTTTTCTTGTCTGCTTATCCATAGGCTTTGAGTAGAAAATATTGTTGTTATTGTTTCCATTTTTTCCTTTTACTGTATTTTAAAATATTTCTATTACATTCTTCTGCAATACTTAATAAGGTGTAAATGCTTTTCATAATGATTCAGAAAACTGTAAAAAACCAATTGGTGATTACTTGTAATGAAAAGCAATGTAGAACTTATAGAAAATTATGAGCAGAAAGGACTAATATTATGTTCTATTTTTTTTATTAAAAGGAATGAATTTCCTTATTGTAGTAGGATATGTGCATATCCTGCTTGTTCCCAGAATGAAATTAAAATGGGAGTGATACACATTACACTAGGAAGTATGTGACATAATACATCTGGGAGCAATATTTTTCTTTTGGGGATGGGGTTTGTGAGTAAGAAACATATTCTGTCACTACCTCATTATGTCAAAGATGTGGCATTTTATTGCCACCACTTGGCTTATATGTTTAACTTAATCTATTCATTACAACCTACCGTAAGTCATTGTTTGGTCTGGTGTATATTTGCATACCCCAATTCAATTTCCAAATTGTTCTGTTGAACATAATGGAGTTTTCTTCTGAAAAAAAGTATAGAATGATGTGGTAAAAAGGCAAATATATTGTAAGCAATTTTTTCTCTGTTTATTGAAAGGAAATTAGGCTGTTTTATGCAAATATCAGTTATCTTTAATTGAATTTCTAATCCTGAAAAAATTATTCTGGCAACGTTGATTTGTAAGCTATCAGTATTGCATATTTACATTTACTGATGAATTATTTAAAGTGTATTTCTAAGGAAGGCCTCATTAAATATTTTTGTTTGATCTTTATGAAAGAAACCTCGTATGTTCTTGCTATATTTATCATTTTCTACAGAATTACAGATCCTATGTATTTTTTTTTCCATCTCCAGTTTGTGGAAAAAGATTTTTGCAGTAAATGCCCATTGGATGAGAATGAAACTTATTTGGTAGTTGGTTTGTTTGTCTAGACAGTATGTTTCTCAGATTTCCTTTCCTAGGGCCATCTCCAATGGAATCTTTCTGAAGCAGAATGGAAAATAACACTAGGAGCTGCAATGGGGATTCCATTCTCTTGTATTTACAGGAAGTCTTTGGAACATTTTCCTCCATAAATGGAAAGATCTTTTGTCCATGTAGAAGGACAATCCAGGTTTAAAATATTGATTTATTTTCATTTCAACTTCTAGATCAATACTGTACTTTACTAGCATTGTGTAAAAGTGATGCACCTCATTCTTAGATGTATTAAAATAATCCCTTGGATGTTTTCTGCCTTAGTAGAGCTACAGGTGATTCTCTTCCTTTTGCTGTTCTCCATCTCAGTGAGGCCTCATGCTGGAAGACGCCTGAGGTATAGCTGGTCCAGCATTCTGCCTCTCCTGGGATCAGCTTATAAAAATTCCAGAAGCAGGACATGAACACAGTAGTGTGCTTACATTTCTCAACAATGGGTATTTAAACCGAGTCGGGTGGTAAATGGCAAGGTTTACTTATTTGCATTATTCATTGATTTTTAACCAAATGGCAACAAACTTTGGTGCTAATTGAACAGAGGTGAAGAATTTTCACAACTAGAAATTGAATGTGTTAGTAGGTGAGACTTAGGATTTAGGTGTTAGGAAACTTCTAATGTGTAATGAACAACTAAAGACAAAAGGTGACTCCTTTTGCTGGAACTCAGTAGTTTAAAAATAAGCTTTTGATGTTTTCTTTGTTGTTCCTTAGTAAAGTCTCTGCCAACTTTTTTGTTTTTCTTCCTTTAACATCCTGAATTAAAGTGTGTGGGAAATATAGAGATACAGATTGTTAAACACTTAATTTCTTAACACATTTCCCATTTTGACTTATTTGTTTTCTTAGTTCATTTTTCATTTTGGCTTATTTGTTTTCTTGATAGTACAGTAAGTAAGCTGTGTAGATTGATTGATTATGTGTCATTGCAACCACATAGATCTTTTTCAAGAACAAAATGGGTGTGTATAATCGTAAGGTTTTTAGTATTTGACTGCAACTCTCAGAAGCTGTTGGAAACCAAAGTTTCTCAGGTAACATTTAAGAGAGTTGTGGAAACAAGAGACTCATAATATTTTTCTAGGGCCCTGTCCTGTTTCATTTGATTTTGTGCTTATTAGATTATTTTAGTTTGGATTGTCTGCTTGATTTGATATTTATAGCTGTTTTATAGGGGTTTTCTATGCCATCCAGAGTCCATTGGGGGTGGGAGGCTAATATAATAATTGCATTATTATTATAGTTATTGCTGTACATTGACAGACATTTCTATCTATCACTTATATATGTGGATCCAAGCAGATCCACACTGCTTGGATCCACAAATATATTAGCAATAGCAATAGCAGTTAGACTTACATACCGCTTCATAGGGCTTTCAGCCCTCTCTAAGCGGTTTACAGAGTCAGCATATCGCCCCCACAATCTGGGTCCTCATTTCACCCACCTCGGAAGGATGGAAGGCTGAGTCAACCTTGAGCCGGTGAGATTAGAACCGCTGAACTGCAGATAAGAGTCAGCTGAAGTGGCCTGCAGTACTGCACCCTAACCACTGCGCCACCTCGGCTCAGTAATTATTATTAGTGTATTATGCTAATACATTATAACATCATAGGTTCTTGGGAAGAACTCAATGCATATGAATGCCAATACCATCTGAAAAACTGGCAGATGTGACATTACATTGCTCTGTTTACAGTAATAATGAAAAATACTATATGGTTATATATTTATATTTGACCTATACTTTTGTCCTTTATTTTTCCTGACAGTTGAAATGAAGATTAGATTGACCAAGGCCAGATTATTAGATAGGCTAGCAAAGGCTTGATCTAAAGCTCATGGTTTTCCAAATGCATTTGTTGTTTTTTCCCCATTTTAACCTTTCATATTATCCAGTATACGGTCAATGACATAAAAAACCACAGTGCCATTGACTAATATAAGTCCTTGTAGTTTGCTAAAAACAATTGTACCGGATATAAATGATTTTTGTGTGTGATGCTGTCCCTAATACCAGTGTTTTAATATAGAATCATAATTCATTATCACTACTATCATTTATATTCTTCTGCTTAATAGCAATAAGATCTGAGTTTTCTTGACACACAATTTGGCACTTTTTTTTTTGTTGGACACATCATACAGAATCCCACACTAGAGTTAAAAGCAATTTTTATGTGTGTATTAAGGGAATTCCTTTTATGGCTATAAAATTAGTTGAGCCAGTTCCTTTGCAACTACATAGAATATGGTTAACAGTTGTTCTCCTAGTTGCTCCATTAAGTAGGTACTGGTATTGGTAGGAACCATACTAGTTATATCACTTTATAGACTGAAACTTGGTTTTGGTCCATATTTCATCATTTTATTCATATTTTCATATTTCTCAGTTGAAATTTTAGTTCTGTACTTGTATTATCTTATTTTATTCTTTCATCTAGCTTTATGACATTTTTAAAACTAGAACTAAAGTAATAAAGGAGGAGGATATTGGAAACTAAGTTTTCCATGAATAGAAATATCTTAGCACACACCTCATAAAACAATATACTGCTCAGTTTCAATTAGGTATCCCCGAAACTTTATAAGACTATTGTAGCGGAAATAACAGTTCTTTTTTTATAAGTAAGAATAACGATGGTGAATGAAATTATCCTCATTTCATGGGAACTTGAGTTCCTCTAATAATAAGGCTAGGTGTGTTTTTAAAAAGATTTTTGTGATGAAAGCTGATTCATAGCTTCCCTCTAAATCTAGATTTGTACTTTTTCATATATTAGCTGCATTTCTCCTTAATTTTAGTAAAAGACTCAATCAGGAGCAGACTGAAAAGTTTAGTGAAGTGGTTAAAGTTAGAAACCCAAAGACTGTAAATTCTAGTTTTCTCTTATGCATGAAAGGCAACTGAGTCGCTATTGATGAGTCTCTTAGTCCAACCCTGCTGATAGGTTTCTTGTAGAGTAATTAGGAGGCAGAAACATGCATATACTATCCTGAGCTGTACAGAAATAAAAATAGGATATAAATCTTAGTGTAACTATGTGTTTATGTTTTTGTATTCATATTTCAACTTGAAGAATATAGTGTTAGGGGGAACTTTGAATCATAAAAGGCAAAATTGCTTCATAGGTTTCATTCATTCATTTAGTATTATTTAATCAAATGAATACCATCTTTTCTTATGGTAATATTGTATGCTTATTCATAATTGGATTGTAAAAAGTGTTGTAGTGCAATTCTTACTCAATGTATTTTTTATTTATTTTCCAAACTCTCACATACTTAAAATAGGTTACGTATCAGGGATTACTTAAAGAGATATTACATCAAACTAGTAGTCCATTTAGTTCATTATTGTTGACACTGATTGGCAGCAACTGTCAAATCTACTTACCTATTCCAGAAATTGAACTTGAGATTTTCCCCAAGCAAAATTTGTTCTTTCATAGCAGTGTAGTTCTCTGCCTCGTTGCATAAAGCAATTCATATATTTTACAAGCAACTAGGCAATCATTGGCCTACAATTGTCTTTAATCATGATTTAACAAGCTTGACTTTGGAGATTAAATGATGTAGATCCTCTTTTTTCTCCTCAAGACACATATTTTCAGATGCTTTCTTCTGTAAGTAGAGTGACAAGCACAAAATAAGAATCTCTATACTAAATTTGTGAATACAGATTTATAGAACTTTCTGTTAGGCACCAAATCTGAGTTTTCAGGATGTTTTGTAGCTCCACAGAAATCATTTTAAAAAACATTGATATTTCTGTAAAAGTTCCTAAAACAAAGGACCCTCAATACATTTTATCAGCTGCTGCATCTGCTTATGTTGATCCGTTGGGCGTTCAGCATTTTCCAGTCATATAACTCCTGAAAAGGAACTTGGCCAAACACCGGTGTAGAACAAGAAGGATTTATCACATATCTTCTTTCTAGTTTCAAATCGTTAACAAAATGAATACTCCAGACATTACTGAGAAAAGTGATATCACATTTTGTTTCCACAATATATACTTTACTTTCCTAATTTAAATCTGGAGTATGCAACTTCTAAACCAAGTGCTATACTTATATTTTAAATAGTCAAAGTAAAATGGGGTGAGAATGAAAAAGCTAAATTTGATTTTATGTCAGCAACATTTAATTAAAATTAAATAGTTAATAGATATTGTCAAACTCCTTTAATATTGTCAAGTCATGTGCTTAATGCTATTTTCCCTTCTCTTATGTTAAAAATTGCAAGTTGGTAACAACTTTGTGTATGGACCTTAGATGTTACATTTCTAATTAATGTGACTACCTGCTCTGCTATAAGTTTTTAGAATGTTTCAAGAACTCCAAAGGAAGATGGGGTGGATAGATCAAATAAGCAAGGTTAATTCTGAAAAACATATTTTAATCAGTAGAAGCAAGACCATAACAACTTCAATCTTCTGTCATCCAACAACTGCACATAAAATGTTTTGTGTGGTGTTCAGAACTCACAGTTAATAACTGCAAGCAAAACTCTGGTTTAAGGAACATGTGAAAATTGTTAAGTCATTTCTGATTGAAAAACAAAGTCGTCATAGAAATGAAATTAGACTGAGTCAGCTGTTAGTAAAATTATTTAAGCCAATAGTTATTTAGAGAGCAAATTCATATGGCATCATATGGTGATTTAAGTTGGGGAGGACAAGGGAGAAGAATCCACATGTGTGTAGAATTGATATATAGCAGTCCAAAACTGAGGCTTTATTTTGGCTTACAGATACAATCAATTTGGCAGAAATGCAATTCTAGCACATTATCTCTTACTGCAAGCACATGGCAGCTGCAATGTGACACCTTATAAATGTTTTACTATTTCAAATGGATTTCTGCATGGGGAAGTTCATAAAAGTCCACAGAGGCATATCCAGGTGTTCTGGGATGAAATTATAAAAGAAACCTTGTGGAGTTTTGTTGCTGTTGTTGGGTACTTGGGTACTGGTAAGTGGGAGTTGGCTAAATGCTGCTCTGGGAGGCTGCAAATAATTATAAATTTTGAAATGCAAACAATATGACAATCTTTGAAAGAAAAGTTCCTGCATCATAATACAACTTTTCACTCAGACAGTCATGTGCATTTATGGATATGGTCACTGATATCTAGCAGAAGAGAACTTCTGAAGTTATCTTAGTGGCCTATGGCCATTTTAAAGAATGTTCTGTGCTTTGAACTTGTCCTGTATCTGAAAGGCTGATCCATGGTAAACCTCATTTTAAAGTAATTATTTTAAAAAAAAGCAAGGATCTGGAAGCTGTCATCACTATTGACTCAGCACATGCTACAGGGCTTTGATTATGATGATAGCATTTTTATCTGAACTATAGTAATTGTTTTTACATATGCATCAGAAAATTTTCAATAGAACTAGCTTCTCTTGTATCTATTTAATTTGATGACATGCATGTTTATCTTTAAGAGATTAAAGTGCATTTTCTGTCAAGGATCCTGACAGTTTACTATGTTTATTCAATATTTGTTGAGTAATCCACAGTTGGATATAGTCTCCCCTCTCCCAGCTGCCAAATCAAATGTACTATTTTACATTATAATTACACATAGTATGTTAAATATAGTCTTGGTTTTACATAAAGTAATCCTATAGAAGTGTAACTTAATACAATAACTGCATATTTTCAGTAGACAATTAATTAGAACTACACGTACTATCCTGTGTAATTTTATGTAAGACATTTTTGTAAATTCATTTTTACTTTTTGCTTCAACAACTTTACCTAAAATAAAATTTATTTTTCGTTATTTTTTCCTTAAATTTCTTAGGCCTGAAATGAAATAAGCAGGTTTCAGATTGGAGGACTGCTTAAGTTTGACAACTTTGCCTTATCTTTGGGCCGGCTTATCAAAAATTAAGGCATTATTTCTTGTGCTCTTCTTTGTAGACTACTAAAGCATTCCTTCCCAAAATGCTGGAACTGAACCACGGACACATTGTCACTGTTGCAAGCTCTCTTGGCCTCTTTAGCACTGCTGGAGTAGAGGTTTGTTCAAATTTCTTAAAAAATGTTTCCTGCGTGTTGAAAGAGTTTGCTTTTATCATCAAGCTTGGTGTGCAAGGTAATATGTGCAGCACTTGGACAAAACAATTCAACTTTTGAGGAATCCATCAGTCAGGAGTAACTAATTTAGTTTCTTTGGAAAACTAAATCACCAGTGAATTAAAAGCAGTGGACATTGCAATGAGACTACCACCAGACTTTTCAGATCTTTTATAGCAAAGTTTGTTGTAAAGCTATCACTATAGAAGAAAAATAAGAAATAAACCCAGCCCTCAATTTATGAGAATTAAATTTAGTATCTCAAAGTATTATTAGGGTATGTTATAAAGTATCTTTTTACCGAACATACCAACTCAAAATTGTTCCTATTAAATGGCAGCACATCTCTAGAGGCTTTATCTAGTGCTGAGAGACGCTAAGAAATGAACCTGAGACTTCTGTCACTGAGCCATGTGTCATTTAAGGATTATAGATGTTGTAATAGAGCATTCCTGGTTCAAAAGACATTGCCAAAGATATACTTAGATTTGAAGTGAAAGGATGGATTTGATCAGAATTGGTAATTTGGTAGAACTAGAGCCATATTTCCTTCCTCCTTCCTTCCCTTTTTCCTTCGTTCTGTCTTTTCTTCCTTCTTTCCTGAAAAGCACAGTTGAATAGTTATGCCTTTTGTTTTCAATTGTTTTGTTGTTGATGATGATTGTTTCTAATATAATTAAGGTTACATTTTTTCTGGCTATTGATAGGAGATAGCAGGAAGATGCTGAGATAAGGTGATCTGTTGGCAAGTCTATTCACCATGTATTGTCTCTAGCATTACCAGCATATTTCCTCTGCATCTCTTTGTTGCTTAAGGTGCTTAAAACATCTGATCAAAATGAGGACATTTCTTATTTTAATAGTGAAAGCAGATGGAGTCACAATGGGAGGAACATTGTGGGATACTACCAGTGGGGCAGCCTTCTGTCAGGGATGCTTCAAACTGGATTCCTCCTATTAGCATGGGAGTTGGACTCAGTAGCCTAAGTGAAACTCTCTGGTTCTATATTTTCCCAGAATATTTGTAAATTCTTATATTATAACAGGAGTAGGTTTACAATATCAACAATATATTTTCCTTTTTTACTACTGAAAATAGGATTAAGGATGACAATCAATTATAATTTTAATTAGGCCCATAAAGAAGGGACAAATTAATAAATTTTAGTCTATTAATCTGAAGTATGCCTGACTTTTGTGTTGTAATCCCCTTCCTTCCCCTGTACCTTCCTTCTTTCTCAGTACTCTTTAAATGATCGCTTCCTAAATTTTAAACTAAACTTTACACTATGGACTGATTCTAATTTGTCCTGACACTGCTCAGACTTAGCTACTAATGTGAAAAAGTCCAAACTTTCCAGTTTCGGAATCAAACCCATTGAGCAAACCTAAGAAAAAAGATGCTACTTACTGACTGTTTCTCCAAATTGCTTGAGGTAGCTCTTCTTTCTCTGAAAGAAAACAATGGCTGAATTGAGAAATAGGGTGTTTTTTTTTTAATGCTGCTTGAAGACAGAGAGCTTTTTATTTCTTCAAAAAGCTACATCAAAGAATGTCATTTAAGTTTAATTTTTCAACAAGACATTTTTATTTAATAAAAGTAAGATGATCAGTTTAAGTCTGTTTTTTTAAAAAAATGTGTAACTTGTTTCATGCTTGTTTTTTATATTGCCAATTTAGGATTATTGTGCCAGTAAATTTGGAGCTGTGGGGTTTCACGAGTCCCTAAGCCATGAACTAAAGGCAGCTGAAAAAGATGGCATTAAAACAACACTGGTTTGCCCTTACCTTGTAGATACAGGAATGTTCAGAGGCTGCAGAATTAGGTAAGTAGGAACATTTTTTAAAAAAATATCTATATACAGGTAGTCCTTGACTTACAACAGTTCATTTAGTGATCATTCAAAGTTACAACAGCACTGAAAAAGGGACTTATGGCCATTTTTTACACTTATGACCATTATAGCTTCCCCATGGTCACATGATTTACATTCAGATGCTTGATAACTGACTTACATGACGGTTGCAGTGTCCCACAGTCGTGATAATCTTTGGCGGCCTTCCGACAAGCAAAGTCAATGGGGAAACCACATTCACTTAACAATTGTGTTACTAAATTAACAACTGCAGTGATTCACATAACAAATGTGGCAAGAAAAAGTCGTAAAATGGGGCAAAACTCACTTGGCAAATTTCTCAATAATAAAAATTTTGAACTCAATTGTGGTCATAATTTGAGGACTACCTGCATATAAAAAAATAATGCAGCTGTATCAAATACATTACACATAGCATCACTCTACTTGCATTAAAAATCATTCTTCACAAACAAAATCATAATAAAAATATCTAATATATTTTAAAATAATATAATTATATTTCCTATGTTATGGGGAAACATTTTCATATATTTGAAAATATATTGGATCAGAATATAATATAGTAATGTTTAAAAAAGTTCATTAGAATCCCATAGCTAGTTTACAACCAGTGGTTCTGTAATTGTAAGGTACTATTTTTAGTGTAGCATAAACGCCTCTTACATTAAATACATTGGATTTTATTTATATAATATACATTGCACCTTTTAAATTGAAAAGCATTCAATGTTATAACTCAAAGTTAAGTCAGAAGTTTGTAATCATGATATGTGACCCTGATCATGGCTTAAACAATTAAAATTCTAGTAAGTTTCTAGTTTTATAATTTCTTCTCTATGTAATTTAATTTGGTATTTGTATTATGCTACTGAGTTCCAAGGGCTGAGGAGCTAGGACGCTGAGCTTCTAGATCAGAAAGGTCAGCAGTTTGACGGTTCGAATCCCTAGCCCCACGTAATGTTACTTGTTTCACTTTGTTCCATTACTTGCTCCAGCTTCTGCCAACCTAGCAGTTTGAAAGGATGTAAAAATGCAAATAGAAAAATAGGGACCACTTTGATGGGAAGGTAACAGTGTTCCCTGCACCTTCGGCATTTAGTCATGCTGGCCACATGACCATGGACGTCTTTGGAAAGTGCTGGCTTTTTGGCTTTGAAATGGAGATGAGCACCGCCTCCTAGAGTTGGAAATGACTAGCACATATGTGCAAGGGGAACCTTTACCTTTACTGAGTTCCAAATATAATGTATAGAACTCTTAGATTTTATACTATGTGTATTGTTTAGTTTTTGAAGATGCATACTGTATATTGTGGGAAGGATAATTTGTACTAAGGAAAGACCTCATCCTAATGAATTAATAAAACAAACATGCTTACCATTGTCTTCTGTCATCTTGTACTTTTTATCTATGTTTTTAAAATGTGGCTTGTTGTTTTTATTTTTTCAGAAAAGAAATAGAGCCATTCCTTCCACCTTTGAAACCAGATTACTGTGTAAAGCAAGCTATGAGAGCTATACTGACAGATCAACCAATGATTTGCACACCTCGTTTGATGTATATGGTTACCTTCATGAAAAGGTTATTATTTAGATCTACTCAGTAAAATGTACATAGTATTTCAGAAATAAATGGGCAGTCAGACTTTGGAATAGATGTCCAGCTTTTACTTCTAATCAACTCAAGTATTATTGCTTGTCAAAGAAAATGTGATAGCACAGAGAGGCCCAGGAATCTATAACCATTCATAATTTATGGGATTGATACACCTAGTTCTCAAACTTGCATAAGGCAGTGTTCACTCCATAAAGGAGAATATTTGTAGCTCAGGATTGAAATGAGATGTCCTTCATGCTCTCTGACCTTGGCTGTTTCTTGCAGATGTTTTATTACCCAAACAAGGTAACATCATCAGTGCTACACCAGAAAACAGACAAGCTCAAAGAGCACCAGGGATCCCTCACTGTTCATTCTGTCTCTCCTAGTACTGTTTCCTCTTCATTTTCAAAATGTATGAGATAGAAGTGCTTCACCATCTACTATATGAGATTTTTTGGGGTAGTAGCAGATATTACAGGCAGATTCTTTCAGGCGCAAAGCATTATTTCTACCCCTGGACTACAACAGTCAATTAATATGGGGACATCATTAGGGCAATTGTATTTCTTTTGAAGGAACAGAAACACAAAATAGACTTCATTGATAATGTACCAAAATGGAAAATATCCAATATTTTTGTGTCTGGAGATAACAAGGACACGTATTCTGGCCTTACTGGCTTAAGAGGCATGAATTCTGCACAATTGAAGTTTTAAGTTCCATAGAAATAAATGATAAGGCTAACTCTAATTTTCAATCTATTGCTGATGAGCCCTGAAAAGTTAATAGCTTTATTTCATTCATTTATTTGTATCTCACCTTCATCATTTTTACAAATAATTCAAGATGGCAAACATGTCCAACAAACCTTCTTCTTGCTATTTTCCCCACAACAACAACCCTGTGAAGTGAACTGGGCTGGGCTCAGATCCCAAAGATCCAAACTTTGTTACCAATCATAAATGTGAATAGAACACCAAATACTAAGATCATATAATCATGTGGGGGACAGATGGCCAGAAGTGTATTATAGACCTTAAAACAACCTTCCTGAGCTGTGGTAACTTTGTACAGTCATCAAACAACTGGTTGTAAGCTGAGAATGACCCATAACAATATTGGTCCCCTCCCAAATGTGTTTGGGAGGAATCATAAAAGTGAAATTAAGAAACAGCGCATCTCCGTAATCAAAGGCATCTGGACTGTTACATTCTGTTATATTCTCCCTGTTTTGATTTTATGGATTATTTATTTCTTGGAAAACCACCTTCCTTTTCAAGGAACTTCACAAATCTGTATAAAGCCTTATTAAATTCCTCAAGGGCTCATACCATTTCCAATTGTTGAAGTCTCTAGATACAGTGAAAATAGAAACAGTAACACATGAAAACAAAAGCAAAGTACCAAGGAAAGAATGAGGCATAGCGCAAGTATTTTGAAGGAAAAAGAATGCTAGCAAATGTTTCGATGTGAGGCCCTTTTTGTGTATGGAATCCAGCCAATTGGTCCTTCTGGTCTTGGCCTTGATCTCTGAGTATTTTTTTAAGCTAAAAATGAGTAAGACTTAAGAAAGGAAATACATATTGGTTTTAAAATAGGTAACAGTTTGATGGATTGTTATTGCTGATAAAATTACTGTATTATTCTACAGAGGCAGTGTGAATAGCTCATTAGTTAAAATAGTCAAAAGTGTGTGCAGCCAAGACTAAGCCACCCTGGGAAGCATTCTTTAGTGAAAAATAGCAGGTGGGGGTTGTGCTTCAGAGGAAGCCCTTTAATTGTCCATAAAACACATTATAGTCTTGTACAGAATAGTTTTATTAACATCCAGAGCCTGGAGCTCTTTGGAACAATGTTAAGATTTGCACTATTAAAGCCTTTGACTCATATTACATTCAAAACATAATAATAATAATGGATTCTTTCATTACTTTAACCTTGGAATTATTTGTTCTTGATCTGCTGATTTTGTAGAAGAGAAGCAATAATTTTAGAAACTTAAACATCTATCCTTAGTCTATCATATCTGAGGGAATCTGCTCTAGATAGCATTTTAATTTTCTTACATTTGTTTTTAAAAGCAAATAACTACATCGCTATATTTACAATCCTATTTACCTGTTTCCTTGTTTTAGCATCCTACCTTTTGAAGCAGTTGTGTGCATGTACCGGTTTTTGGGAGCAGACAAGTGTATGTATCCTTTCATTGCTCAACGAAAACAGGCGACAAATAACAATGAAGCAAAGAATGAAATATAACATTTTATAAAGGACTGTTATTTGTAACAGAATTATTATCAAATGCTAGAACTGTATTCTGGAGTGCACTTGCATTTAGCAGGAGCAACTGTTAACATTTTATCATGACATTCTCTTGGATCCTATACCTGAATAGTGAACAGGAAAAACTTTTTTTTTTACATATTGTATGTAGAGTAATCAGAATTCATGAGAACCATGAGAGGCAAATTCATAAAAAGTAGTGACCACCCTTGTTCTTTTGAAACTTTATTAGATGTACAGTAATATGCTACTCTTTTTATAGAGAGAAACTTTGTATGATTTCTCTTGAGATGGTCATGCAATTAGATGATTCAATTGTTTCATCAATTGTTCGTTTTCTTGTGATGTTTTCATGGGTTGTCATTTACATTATGTAATGTAGCAGAGGCAGTGCTTCAAAAGCTCACAGTCTAAATAATACATTGTAATTACTTTTTATTTTTTAATGTTGCATATGTTGAACCTAAATATGTTTTCATTAACATGAAGTTTGGAATGCTTTCAGAATGGAAAGTCATAATCCATACCATCTCTTTCTGTTACTTAGATAAGAATATATAGCTTGAATTTAAAATCAACCACTATAAAAGCCAACTTTAATGGAATTGGATGAGCAAAGGAATAAGCAGCTAAATACTCTTTCTAGACTATATAGTGAAATCCGTTTCCCCATCATTGATTACTGTCCAATAACCCATGTTTTTGCTTAAAATTCAAAAGCAAATTGAGTTAAGAAAAAATAAATCATGGCCGTCCTGCCAACTGTCACATTAAAGAGTTATATAAACAAAATGTAATATTATTAGATGCAACTTGAACATTAGAAAGACTAAAATGTTTTTTTAAATTGCATTATAGAGCAGAAAACATTTTTTACCTTTTTTTGTAAGAACAATTTTGTGCCTTGAATTTGGTGAACTGTATTAGTAGAATATTGTAAAGGTGAACTTTCTACCTCTATATCTAAATGTATATCATTTGTTTGTAAATTTGTTTTAAAAATTGTGACTTTTTTTTTAGAATGTCATGTTAAATACTGACCAACTTTTGTGGTTATTAAAATTATCCACTTGTTCTTTAAGACATAACTTGTTTGGATTTTTTAAATGTTGTCTAGGTTTGAGGTATTTTTTTATACTAATTATGTTCCATTTCAACACGGGACAATATGTGTTTTTATATTCTGTTCGTATGGTAGTAACAGTTTCAAAAAATATAGTTGTAGTTGATGACTTGGCCTATTCAATCCTGATATTTCCACCATTTCCAGTTACCTTTAGAGGAGCAGTGCATTTGTTTCAGAAGGCATTATTTATGGGAGGATAGCTTTAGTATGTACTGCTGTTCAATTCTCTACGATATGGATTCTGTTGCATATATATTCCATAAAATTCAGATCAAAGCTTTAAAAACAAGAAGCTGCTGTAGAAAACTACTGAAATGATACACTCTTCCAGAAAAATGGAATTATTGGACACAATGCTGTATATTTTAAACACTTCTTCTGGCCACATAAAGAACTATATTCTGCTATTCAATAAATAACCAAAATTAATTAAGACATGTATGATGGGAATTACTTTTCCCAGCTTTGGTTTGAGTATGCCTATTAAGTTTCACCTCTGTCATTGGAAGCTTTCAGATAATCATGCCTGTTCTACAACATGATTTTTACAAGAATAAACTACTGATACACAAATAAACTACTGAAATAGTAGGATTATTCTGATATGGTTTACTATATCTCTATTAGGACACGCAAGAGAGATTACCTTCTGAATAATGTTCAGCACTTGTTGGTTTAAAAATACTGAATCTCTGTCTAAAAAGAGGGAAAACCCTTCTCAACCTAGTACTAATCAAATACAAATGTATTTCTTAAGGTAACAGTTCAAAGAGATTGTAAAAAAAAATGGCTATATGTTAAATGAATATTCAAAGCAGTCAATATTTTAATGCATAAAAAGTAGCTAACAAATTGTGAAATGAGTACCTGTAAGAATTTTATATTTAAAGTATATCCAATTGTTTGAAGAATGGAGATTAATCAGAATAGAGAGCTGGCAGTGACCAGCTGCCAGCTTCTAATTCATTTCTTCTATTACATGAAATTAATACTTGATTCACACATTATATGAAGTCATAGTCTGATTAACTATAAATTGATTAAACCTGTTGATTATATTTACAAATGTGTTAAAATCAGAGTTGGGCAATTTGTAACATTAGCTGTGTAATTGGCTATTGAAGACCTGTTTTTTTCCTAATAGTTGCAAGAGTCATTTCCAAATACTTTGATACATTTCGGTTTTCATTGTTTTGAAATGGAAACCACATGGAAGCTGTAGCCCAATTTAAAATGCATTTAAATTCTTATTTTATTAAAATCCTTAGAAACTTATGAAATCCACTCCCTTAAAATCATTAAGAGCAGCATCCTGTGCAAAACTATAACCACTATCTCCATGAGAGCAGTAGTACCTTGCTTATATAAAAGTTCTGTACAGCAGGTTTTCTATTGTCCCAGCAGATTTTAAGCTAGTCTCCATCCCATTTTGGAGAATAACAAGTATACCAGTCTCCATGTTCTTTTTTCACACATTCACATCAAGGTAGAACTTTGAAGGTTGTATAAGAGAAATGTTTAAAATCTCTTGCCAGATACATCTCGACGATTAAGATTGACAAAGTCACAGATCCAAACAACAAATTGTTTTCTGGATTTCCCAAAAAATAAATATATTTTTTAACATACATACATACATACATACATACATACATACATACATACATGTATATATATGCTTTTAAAGAATTTAAAACAATATTTAACAACCTACATAATCTAAAAGGATCATGAATCACTAAAAATTGATTGATTTTATTTTAAAAGGGCCCATGTAATAAAATCATTCTTAGGCAGGACGTATCCAACCTGTGCTTTTTTCCAGCTCTATGTTGAACAGCTGTATTTATATAATTTTCTTTGACCAGCTCAGCTAATGACCTAGCAACTACAGGTGCATATCATCTAAAGTTTGCTTTGCAATAGAGTTTTTAAAAATATTACATATTTTGGGCTTAAAGCGTGGTCGGAGTGAATATATGTATTCACTTTATTTATTTATCAGCACAAATACAACAAATGTAACAAAAAGGCAACAGTAAAAATATTGGGTTTCTGTCTGGATGGTCTCTTGTGACGAGCCAAAGGACAGAGAATGGAAGTAGGGATCTTCCTCCCATATTTGGGCATACCAGGGGTTGTAAATCTATATCTATATCTATATCATCTATATCTATATCTATATCTATATCTATATCTATATCT